AACATTTTTTTTTTTGGAGATTGGCCTTTTTTTCCAGTGTGGTCCTGTTTCTCTGACTGTGACTGGCTGGATGTGCTCTCTTCATCCTCTGACGTGGGAGCTGGCTCGGAGCTCGTCTGCCTGGCTGTGTGTTTCCTGGACGGGGCCGCCTTTTACAGCTGCTTTTTGTAACTCTGCTTCTGTCTCCTTGAACCCCAGTCGCCCTCAGCAGATGGCCGCTCACACTCAGCCTGGTTCTGCTGGAGATTTCTTCCTGTTAAAAGGGAGTTTTTCCTCCCCACTGTCACTACAAGCATGCTTAGGGTGAGGGATTGCATTGGAGTCAATGAGTTGATGCAATCAACTGGTTTTCCTTAGATAGGATACTTAGAATCAATTTCATTGTGTGATCTGGTTGAACTGTAAAGTGCCTGGAAATGACATGTGTTGTAAATTGGCGCTATATACTGTAAATAAACTAAATTGAATTGAATAAAGTGGTGGACAGGTGGACAATTTGTACTCAAGTAAGAGTGTCACTACTTATATGTTTTTTTTACTCAAGTAAAAATGTAAAAAGTCGTCATCCAAGAAATTACTCAGGTATTCGTAGAAAGGCTATTTAGTACAGGGTAACTGTTGCATAATAACATCAGATTTAAGGTTTGTAAATGATGCTGGGAAACAGAATGTATGCGCAAGTTCTGGCTTGCATACAACAGAACAAATTCATGCAGAAGAAGAACCATTTTTTCAACATAAAACTTATAAAACCAATCCTTACAGTGCAATGAAAACTGTATATATATTAGGACAGGGAAAGGAACTTCACTGTTAATTTCTACTGATTACTGTATGTTTACCTGATTTTGGAATACTTCAAATTACTCACAGAGGACAGAGAACTAAGACATTTTAAAGTAGCAATACTTTTCAAGAATAAAAGTAAAAGTAACAAGTATGGCAGAGTAAACCTACTCCTCAAAGTTTTTTTTATTTTTTTATTGTTATTCAAGTAAATGTAACTGAATAATGTAACGATTTACTACTTATCTCTGGTGGTGGAAGCATCATGCTGTGGGATTTTTTTTTTCTCCAGCAGACACAGAGATGCTGGTCAGAGGTGATGGAAATATTTTTGAACAATGTTCTGAACAATTCTCGGGGAAAACTTGTTAAAGGCGAAGACTTCAGACTTAGAGGTTCGCGCATGTTTCTTTCTTTCTTTCTTTCTTTCTTTCTTTCTTTCTTTCTTTCTTTCTTTCTTTCTTTCTTTCTTTCTTTCTATTTCTCATGGTAAAAAAACAAATGTATATTAATCATATCAGTGTATCAAATAGACTACTCTGGACTGCAAACTCCTCACCACATGCAGCAGCAGGGGCAGAGGCCGTGAAACCCTCAACCCACAAACTAATTGTGTGCTGACGCATCATTATTACAACAGAATATTGCATGCATGTTTTTTTATCCATCAGAGCATTCATTTTGGTTTTACGGACCAGTTGTCCAAACAAACAGTAGAGTTTTCTAGAGGTTTAAGCTGAACAAAAATAATTCCCTTTTTATTAGAATAAGGAAATACAGCTGCCCTAACTGGTCATATATGTATAATTTCTAAAATATAGATGATGGCAGTGGTTATGGTGCAGGTTTAGATAGTACATTATGGGAAATTATTGGGTAGAACACATATAAATATCGTCTAACATAAAATGACCTTATTAGGCCTACAAAACTACCAAAAACTACTTCCAAAATCTGGTCCAGTTTTAAATCACAGCTCTTCAAGGCTTTGTCGCTCTCTAGTGGCGGAAAAACTAAACTGCAGGCGGTCGGTGGTAGGTTAGGAGATGAATAAAACAATAGATACCATAAATACGCTGCTGTAAAAGCTTTTACATCTCTTCATAGTTTTATTTATTTTTTTATGTTACAAGGGCAGACTTTAGTGTAGTTCGTTTAGATTTTATTTTACCGACGAAAACAAAGTCATTCATATCTGCAAGAAAATAATTTCTTGTGTTTAACTTTTTTTTTCTTTCTTTTTCTTAATAGATTAAATGTTAAAACAGGGTTGTCAATTTACATACATAATCATCTTTAATCGGCTACTTATAAATAACAATCACTTTATTAAACATTGGACACCATTGTGTGGTTTAATCTATATGTTTCCAGCAGTTTGAAGGCCTATGGGGTTTATTGGAGAACATTGGAGAATAATCTGCCAAGGACATTACAGACTGGATAAAAAGTATATTCTGGAGAGGTATAAATCTGAGTTAGGTTCTAAGATGA